GCTATATTATCCTGGGTGATTAATACTAAAAAGCACTTTTCTTTAACTCTAAAGAAACTTTAATTTCTTTTTATCGGTAATTTGGAAAAGTTACTTGTCAAGGTTTTGATTAGGTCTTAATAAGGTTGATAACTGTATACATTCATTTATCCTTTTGTTTTACTCCCATACATCTACAATTAAATAAACACTGAAAACATAATTGTAGTTCAAAGTAAACAATAAAACAAAATTATTGGTGAATCGTACGTGAATGAATCTAATTAAAAATTGTGTTAGTTCCTAGTAAGATGTTTTGAAAGGTTCTCATCCCATCTTAAAAAGTATCATGAGCGAAGTCAAAAATATTCTCCAGAACACAACTATTTTCTGACTTATTATATTGTGTGATTGTAACTATTTGCTTCAAATCTCTTTTGGTGCATCTAAAATGTCTTTTCCATAAAAAATTTTCTCTTCGCTCAACCGTCTCCACACTAACACGTATAAAGCCTTCTTGATTAGCGACATGTAATGTAGCATTAATCATAATTTAAAGAACTAGAAAGTTTTCAAACACTACATAAGGTGAGATGTAGCTGAAGCTAAATAACTACTTCGGCGCTACAGGTCGTCGAAAAATCAAATGAAGTCTGAGATAGTGTCTTTCATTGGCCAAATTTTTCGCGTATCCAAAAGTCAGTTAATTAGTAAGCAAGCAATCCGAGATATTTATGTTATCGTTGTGCAAAGTTGCCCATTTCACTGGGCGTTTTATCAAAAACTTAAGCAATTTTTAATCTTTGTCGAATACTTTAGTCTTGACATTTAAATTGGATATTTTGTTTTAACATTATCGTTTTAGATTAAGCTAATCTTAACTCTATCGGTTGTGAATTTTAGTTAAAACGACGAGGAAGCGTCGATATATAAAGAAAGGGGATAACAGTTTTCGAATGCTTAAGTTTACTTTAAACAGTAAAATTTTTCTTAGGTTGTTGTTGGATTACTTAGTGGGTAAATGAGCCTCCGTTTCTCCATGCACTTAACAAGGTCATTTTGTTCAAAATAAGTTACTTTTTTAAACTTGGCTTGTCTTTCCTCAGTGAGACTAAGCTTCTTGATATCAGTTAAGAACTGTTATTGTCCTGAAGTGTTCAACTTGAACTCACTCGTTTTGAATTAACATTAAAACCGATGCTTTCAATTATGGCTGTTTTAGATTATAATAGTATAATCAAATCAACGACACATTGTAAAAAATGATGTCGATTTTAGAAGCAAAAAGCAAAGTAGGCATTAAATGTATGTTTCGTCTTGACTAAATTTAATATACATATTTTTAATTACTTTAGTTTGGTGCCGAATTTCGTCGATTTGAATTAGATCGTACAAAAAGCATGAAATATGAAGAATTTTATAAATTTTTAGAAGATTTACATTTTTTACAAGACATTTCATTTAATATTACATATCTGGACAAAGATGGTGAATTATTATCAATTAACAACGATAGTATCATCGACTACATATTACGTGTGACACCCGGCTTATTAAGAATATTTATACAAAGAAAGGGTATATATTTTAATCTTAAGAAGCTTACAATTTAATCAATATTAGTTTCACAAGAGTTCACTAGATTCGAACTTTTGATTGTGGATAAGGCTAATATATAAACGAATATCTAGTTAAAAAAGGGAAAAAAATCTCAACTTTTTTTTGATTATGAAAATTAGTTAGTTTTAGTATATGTTAAATCTTTCTGTTTTTGTGAACTAATATAGTTAGCAAACTGTTGATCTCTGATTAAAATCTTATCTTTGTATTCTTCAGGTGAATCATATCAAGCAACAAATGTAACAGATTCACTAAGAAAACGTAAAAAAATATCTGATCAAATACAATCATTAATTCATACGGATCTATCTAAAAAACATAATCATAATGAACGATCTCAACAATTAAATATTGAACTTCAACCCGATTTTCGTCTTGTTTCATCCATTATTGATGTTGAAATATTACCCGTAACCTATCGTCGTGTTCGTTTACATCGATATAAAGAAAGCAAACCATTAGGATTTTATATTCGAGATGGTGTAGCTGTTAAAATGGGAACAAATGGCATTGAAAATGTACCGGGTGTATTTATATCACGTTTACTGAGTGGTGGTTTAGCTGAAAGCACGGGTTTATTGAGTGTTGGTGATGAAATCATTGAAGTAAACGGTATTGAAGTAGCCGATAAAACATTAGATCAAGTAACAGATATGATGGTGGCTAATAGTCATAATTTAATAATAACTGTTCGTCCAGCAAACGATACATACAATTTGAAACGACACACAAATGTCAATATTTCACAAAATTCCTTAAAAACAACAAATTCAAACCTTAATCTTGATATGATTAATATAAATAATAATAACATCAGTAGTTCGATAAATCATAGTTCATCGTTGGATGCTGGAGGAAGTGACGATGACGAAACTGAAATTCATCGTCACAATCATTTATCATTACATGATACTAAAATTGAACAAGAACAAAAGCCACCATCTGTTTTAAAACTGTAAATAGATCACTGTCTTTTCTTTTTCTCTCTTTCTCTCTCTCTAAACTCGTCATAAAATAAAAATAAAGAGAAGCCACTGCCCCAACAGTAAATGATTCTCTATTTTATTCTTGTCATACACATTGTCCTTTTTTTTTTTCTTCTCATAAGCATGATCTTTTTCCATTTCACAAGCATTCTTTTTTTATTTCTAGTTTGTCTTCATATGCGTTTACAAAATAAACGCACTTTTTTTTTTTATTAATGTGAATAATAAAAGAATCTACTTTTTTGGTCCATTTTTGTTTGTTTTACTCTCTTTGCGCTCTTCATTTTGTTTTTTACATATTAAATGATTGAATCATATTCTTTTCTTTTGTTATTTCGTAATGCATTTTTCCGTTTCTCCTCTTTGTTTGTTTGTTTGTTTTTTTGCACATATTTTTGTGCTATTGGAGACTATCACAGATATAGCAAGCGTACTGGTTTTTGTATAAAAAGTATAATTCAATTACTATTTGTCTTTATATGCAATAAATTATGAAATATCGATATATTTAATCACTCATCTTCTAACGACTCGTCCGTTTTCTCTTTTTTAATGAAATATGCCTACTGCTGATTTGTTAAAGAAAACAAAGAAGACCTTTCTAGTTATAGTAAACATTTTTTTAGAATAACTCAAAAAAATTGATATACTCAATAGTATATGCTAATATCGCTCATCTTCGACTTTTATTCCCTGAAATTTTCTTTCCTTTATCTTGTAGGTTAATAAAAACATGCTTCTATAGTAAAAACTTTCAGTCTGAATAAACGACACTTCTAGTTCTAGAGGGTATATTCAGCACGAGAATACTTGGTAAAGCAAGCAGTCTACAATGAAATCATACGTTTTTTTGGTAGATCTGGATGATTGAAAGATAATTTGATTTTGTATTTTCAATGCTTTGGTTAGATAAGTCAAGTTTTGTTCATAATAATAGATTAAACCAACATTAAAATGATTAACAGGTGTATCTGCATGATTGAACGGTGATGATTGGCTAGTGCCTACTTGTAATCGATGAGAGCATCACGGTTTTTATCATTTTTCTGATAAAGTTGAGTATCATTCGATAAGTGTTATTGTATTTCTAATGCTTTTATATGATATTTTAGAGCTTCATCACTTTTGTTGATTGAACATTCCTTCAATATATCAGAGTTGATTGAGCAATCCTCTAATATTACTAAGACACATAGTGATATTCATATGTTGATCTGTTTTTTATTCGTAAATCTGTACAGTTTTTTGTAATATGATAATGCATCTTCAAATTGACACTTTTTACAGTAGATGAGACCAATATTATTATAGCTATTTCCAAATCGAAATGTGTCGTTGGTAATATTTTTCCTCTCATATGAAGAGTCTCAATATAGTAATTCGGAGCTAATGAATAACTGTCGTTATTACAGTAACAGGCACCAGTATTATTATAGTTTGTAACTAAATACACATGATCAAATGTAGATAGAGATGTTTTGTAGAGTTTCATTGATTTCATCAAATGGTTCAATGCTAAATTGAACTCTTTTAAAAGCTTTCAATGTTTCATCTAGTTCTCCTCGGAAATCCTTAACAACAACGTTTCCTTTTTCCATTTCTTTTTGATTCATATCAATATAATTTTGAACAATTTGTTTTGCTTCGTTTATTAATGCCATTTTGATATTTCATATTTGTGTTAAATTATTGTAGTCAACGCTTAGTATTTTAAATGCTGATACCAAATCAGATAGTGCCTCTTATTCTTCGGGAATCGTATCAATTTCAAACATCACTGGTTGAACATTACTTCTTTTTTCTCATTGTATGTATCTATTGAGCGTTATTTTTCCTAGCTACTAGTGACGAGGGCGAGCTTTTAACAAATTATTTACCGAACCAATTTTATGTTCGTTATCTATTACTTGTACTAGTATTACATAAAGCTTAAAAACAAATAATTTAACAATCACGAGTTGATTGAAAAATGAAATTGAAAAGCTTGTTGTAGGTTAAACTCTCGTTCCTATATCATGAACGTCACAATCACCGTTGCTAAATCTTCTGATTTTTAAGGTTTTCAATTGTTTTCCTGCATCGATTTTGTTTTTTCCAACACTTAGATTATCAGTTTCAGAAACAGAATTTCCGGCTCAAGAGTCTAAATAATTGTACATTGAAAGAGTCCACTGTGTACTTATCGAATGTTCTCATCACAAGATGAGATTAGTGAACGTCGAAACCCATCGGATCAAAAACGTCTTCCTCAATGCATACTGCAGTCTGTAACAAATGATAATACTACAAATGATAATACTGATTCAAAAAATTTTTTTTGAAAAGTTAAAAGAATTTTTGAAGTTATTGAATTTTTTTGTTTTGTTTGTCCAAGAAAAAACTGCCTGATATATACTCACACAGCCTTCAAAACCTTCATCTTTATTTATCCATACAAGTTTCATCACTCGAACAATAAAATTAACAAAGAATCAATGTTGGAAATGCGATAAACATTGACAGATATTATTACTGCGGTGCCAGTAAGCTCTTTCTCTGTAATTGATATTGTGAATCGTCAGTGTTTTTTTACCACTCGTTGCACTGCTGTATTATTTGATAATTAACGTAATGTTGTGACGGACGATTTTTGACAATTTTATCGATTTTTCACTTCTGACGGATTTCTATACTATCGACTGCATACTTTCAGAAAATAGTGCTTTCAGTACTGTTTATAGCTTTATTGTGATTGAAAGGTGTCTCACAAGTAGCACCCACCCTCTTTTTTCAGAGTCTTACAAAATCTATAGAACTTGTGCAGTAATGTGACAGATGTTTATCATAACAGCATTAGTTATACAAATGCAATCATGGAGCGTCAAGTAATGGACAGAATTTTTTATTGAAAACGTTGTGCATGTCTCGAGATTGCGTTGCTGTAAAATTTCACGAAATACCTGTTCGGGATACTGTCTGTCATGTAACGTTTGATTGGTCTTTTTGCTCCGGCAATAAACTGAGTATACAATTGTAATATACATAAACTGGAACTTTATTTTTCAAGCATCGCGGAGCCTATCTTGGTGGCACTCATTTTCCGAAGAGCCTCTTACTTTCTTTATGTGACATGCAGAACTAGTGAAACCACATGGAAACATAGCTTATCGATTATCCTGGCCATCACGGTGTGTTTTCTTTCTGACCGTGTACTTCCAGTGGCTAATAAGTCTGCATTTTCCATTTGAGGGTCGCAAAAAGACGATTTTATGACCCAATCTGGCTATCTACTTGAGAACAAAACAGACATCACTGTGATGATCAGGATGGTCGATAAGCTATGTTTCCATGTGGTTTCACTAGTCCTGCATGTCACAGGAAGAAAGTAAGAGGCTCTTCGGAAAATGAGTACCACCGAGTCTCTCTATAAGCTGTAGGTCTCGGATCTGCGTCAGTTTGTAGTCAAGTGATCGGACTAGCTCTTGTAAGTGTTAAATCTAAATATTTATGTTGTTTTCTATTTTTTGGATTGATAGCTTTCTTAAGTACCGCTGGAAAATTACTTCGGGTCAGAGATGTCACCGGTCAACAAAATCTTGACCGGTACCGGCTGGTCATCGGCGAACATGTGTAGACCGGACCGGCCAATTTTACAAAATATGACCAGTAAGCGACTGGTGTTTTTTGCTTTCTGTTCGATATAAACATGCTTTTTTCTGTCATATTTTCCAGTTATAAGTCAAGTCGACCGGGCCCAGTCCAGCAGTTTGAACAGAACGGGTCCAATCGGTCGGTTGATAAGCCTCGACCGAACGGGAACGGGCGCCCGATCAGGTTACTTCTCTGCCTCGGATCAGGATCGGAAACTCATAACCATATACGTTTAAGTGCATGTCGTCTACTATCAAACAACGAAATGATAAAATTTTTAGAACTTTGTGTTTAGTCATCATAGAAGATCTTCTAAGAGCTATCGACTTTCAGTCAAAAATCCTTTGAAAACCTTCAGATTTTTGAGCTTTTCCAAAACAAAGACTGTTTTTAAATAGCTAAAAGTGAATTCTGTCAAGTGAGCTTGTTTAACAGATTAAATGATAACAGCAAATATTTTTAATTGCAATATTTCCCAAAGCAATATAGTAGGCTCAAAAGACTAGTTTTCTACAAGTCCATTTTGAAAGTAAAAACCAAAGCAGATTGATATCGCCATCGGAATCAGCATGTCTGAAAACCTCCAGGCTCTGAGATTCAGCCTGAAATCTTCATTTCAGTAGGCTGTATCCCAATTTTTCTTGTATTGGACAGACGCTCATTGAAACAGTTACCCCTGCACCAATAAATTATGTGCACAAACACATTGTTTCTCACAATACACACTCGATAGTCCCAGTAGTAAACATATGATGAATTCTATCGATAATAAGGTTTCAGAAGAATGATCTTTTTCCCAAACCTGTATGATCAGAGGTAGCTGAGAACGAGCGTCTGGCTCGAACGAGAAAACACAGTGTGAAAAAAAAGAAGCTAGACAACGCTGGAAACTAAAGCCATGTTCACACGACACATTTTGACTTACGAGGAAAGGACACTAACTGTCTAATCGCTTTTAGGCTAAGACCCACTGGACAATGGGTGATCGGGTGTGCTGAATCCGAATATGACAATGGTTTTTGCTGCTAGGCCTTTGTAGACTGAGTTTTCTAGAAAACCAGTTTTCCAGAAACTCTAGAGAATAACTAAAAGCTTTCTTAATAAGGTGCAATTGTAGCCCGGAAATTTCTGATTAAAATGAGACATCTCCCAGCTCTATATGGCCTTTCTTTGCAAAGTTATAGAATTCACAAGAAAAGCCCTAAATTCATCTTTCCTTCTTCTTTCTGTAGCTCTGAGGTGACAATAAACATTTAGGGCTTTTCTTGTGAATTCTATAACTTTGCAAAGAAAGGTCATGTAGAGCTGGGAGATGTCTCATTTTAATCAGAATTTCGCGGGCT